AGGCGCCCAGGTCCTGTGCATGCACACTGCCTGTCCACGAGAGCACAAGTGTGTGGCAGAGTGGACCAAACTTAGTCCTGTTTCCTTGCTGCATCTCCAGAGGAAAAGGCAGCAAATATAAGCCTTTCCCCTAAAGTCTATTTATTGTTTTAATTCCAGGATATTCTGAAACTAATCATCTTGGTTGTCCGCTACATTTACTCACTAAACCAATTTGGTTATCAGGAGGCAGAGAACAGAGAACGGGAGTCTTGGGAAACTTACGAGGTTCAACTGCAGAGTCTCCTGAAGCCTTTACTAGTTCTTGCCACCACATGGGGCCATGCTGACGTTTGCAAAAGCTACCTGTCTCAGTGGCCACAAAAACATGCTGTGACAGCTGGAATACACTCAAGGAACCAGGAAGAAATAAGGCACAAGTCGTTACTAGGACAGGAAAAGGGAAGAAAAGTACTTTGTTGCCACTTTAGAAAATTGCTTATTTCTTCTCATCTATTGAAAGGAACAGTCAGTGCTTAATTTTTTTTCCTTTTATTTTTGATCGATTTTGCATGCTTATTTCTAATAATCTGAACGAGTAATTTGAAGACAATATGCAATTTAACAACCATTGTTGAATTCCTATCATTTTTGTTTAGTTAATTCTGTATTGTTTCCATTTTTTTTTTTTTTTTACTATTTTCCTTAAAAAGCATAAAGAACTGGCATAGGAAATTTGTTTTATTAAAAAGATTAGTTAAAGTAGAATTTGTAAAGAACCTTAGAAATATGAAATTCAGGCTTCTTGTTTTATAAATTAGAAAATTAAGATGCAAAATGATTAAGTTCTTGTTAAGAGCAAGTTTCTTGTATTAGAACAGTGATGTTAGTATTTTAAGTATTCTTGTCTTACCTAGTGTAGTTTATAATCAGTGAACATTGCTTGAGTTACTTTATGAATTGATAAGTACATTCTCCTCATCCAAAGCCATTTACTAGAGGGGAAGCAGTAATTCAATTTGATAGGTGATTAATTTGAAAGGCACAAATAATTCTTCTTGGTGGAAGAGGGAAAGATTTATGAAGGTGCTGTTGAGCTGGATCTTAAAGAATTGCAAACAGATTTGTAGGTAGAGAAGTGGAGAATGGATATCCTCCATTTAGGGAGAAACCTGTACATTATTTGGTAATGAAATACTGAAGTTGATCGAGAAATGGTGAGAAGTCAAATGTAGCTGAGGATTGCTTGATCTGAGGATACAAAGACAGAAAGTCTCCAGATTAGGAAAATTCTTATACAAAGCTAAGAATATAGACAGTTGGGGGTGGGGGAGATGGACACTTTAGTGTTGGGGGGTACCTGGGAGATAAGGGAAAATGCCCGTTCAGAAGTCTGAATCACTGAAAAAGATGTCCCCAAAGCCAACTCCATAGAGATTTGAGAAAGGTGAATTGTATATAGGATCAAATTCTGAAGAGATCCCAGATAAGGGAAAGACTAAAAGAAGAATGAAAGCTTGGTGCTTTCTGTCAACATTTTCAGTAGGGTGTGAGTGAAGGAAAGCAGCTACGTGCACTGAGGGGAGGATGCTGAGCCAGAAGAACGCGGACCACGCACATTTGTATCTCTTCACTCTTAGGTTGCCTAATGCGTGTGTCATGTTCTGTTTCCAGCCTTCAGCTTATAGAAACTAAATGCAACAAAGCAAATTTTATAACCTTATAATTACAGTTATCTATGGGCAGTGTAAGTGTATATAATTACTTGATAATTATAGGTAATTATAGATAGGTATTGATAAGTGATAGGTTCTATGTTGGTAGTTATATGTTGTCAATAGCCTTTTATACTGCTGATTGATATTAAAATATATTACCCTAAATATAAGAGGCATAAACTTTATGTAAATTGTTTTTCTTTGAGAAGCAGTTTAAATTTTAAAAGTCTTTAAGGCTTTATTGTTTCTTATTGTTAATGTTAACCAAAATCTTGACAGTGATCTCTTGATGTTGGGATTAGATAAATGGTTAGTCTTTATATAAAAATGCTAAGAAATAAACTTTTTTTAAAATTCTGAGTTATATATATTTTTTATTTCCTTATTTCCAGGAAAAATTGGTGTATTTTGTTTGTAAATAGTCTCAAATAATAGTTTTGAAATTGAGCTTTGTAGCTGAGTACGTTTCAAATTTCACATGTTAAGCAGGTGGCTTGATTTGGATTGGGACTTCCCTGAGAATGCTTGATTTCAGCATAAATTTAGGGACATGGAGAATTTAAAATACTAATTTTTAAAGGAGAATCAGAAAACATTCCTTAACTTTATCTTCCAAACATCTGAGTGTGTGAGAACCATCTCTCTTTTTTCTTTTTTTTCAGAACCAGAGATTGAACTCAGGTCCTTGCGCTTGCCAGGGAGGCACTAATTCCACTGAGCCATCTCCCCGGCCTTAACCATCTCTTCTTCATGCTAACTCAGGCCTGCTAGGAAATTGCCGTGGCCCAGATCTAGTAGAAAAGGGTTCTGCACGTTTTATTGTCACTTAAAACCACTCTTCCTCCTCCACCCGAGGAAATAAATGGAATTGAGCGTCATGTATGTCAACTCTGCCTTCTTGCCATTAGCGAGACAGTAATCTGATGAGTAGAGGTTAGGAGGTTAAAGGCATTCAGAGTACCATTGTGAGATTTGCAATACATATGATGCTAATATTTGTTTGTTATATTGAAAGTAAAAGCATCTTAATAGTTACAGACATTAGCCTATAATTTGCAGCAGGAGTGAGGTAGCTTTGAAGGGAAAACGTGCTGGACTTAGGCATACTTTCCAGTAGGGATGCAAAGACCATGAGAGTTTCCAAGTGAACTGACACCAAAGAAGACAGAAAACATGACGCTGAGCAGGTAAAAAGAGCTGCCGTGGTGGAGGGCAGCGTCCAAGAGAGGGAGCAGTGAACGGAAGGCACAGGAATGGAGAAAGCATAACGTGTGAGTGAGATGGGTTAAAATGAACCATCCCTACCATCAAGGGTGGGAACTCAGGCAAAACTCAAGCAGAAAGTTACTGTGAAGGGTTTTAAGCAAGTGATCTCATCAACTTCATATTTTACCAATAGCACTGATATCATAGCACAGGGAACAGAAGATTGGCAGGGCAAGATACAAGGGGAGCATAGTGGTGAGGGGACTTTCGCAATAGTCTAATTAGGAAATAGTGATGGTCTTGCATAGGATGATGTGGATGAGGAGATGGGAGAGCCGGATGGGGTGGGGAGCTATTTCAGAAGTGAGAAATAGCTCTTGGAGACAGACCAGTGGAGTAGAGAAGAAGGAGGAGCTGATGTTCACTAGCAGTTGCTCCTTATTTTATTTTTTGCTTGACAACTGTCAAGATACTAATTTTCCTGAAGAGAATTGTGTTTTTGCAATAGTTTCTTCGCCATAACTGGATGAAGGCAAAAGAGGCATTTGCAAAGAAGAGAATACTAATTTTGAAGAGAATACTAATACTAATAACACTTATTAACAGCATGTGAAACCAGAGAGCTGAAGCCAGTGCTACCTTGGGTTGTTTTTTTTTTTTTTTTTTTTTTTTTAAAGAATTATTTATTTATTTATTCATTCATTCATTTTGTGTGTGTGGCCAGCTCAGCCCACCAGGGGGCAGGGCTGGCTGGCGTGTGGTGCTGGGGAATTGAACCACGGTCCCTGTGTTTTGCTTAGCTTAGCTTGTTCTAAGTAGGTGCTTTAGACCACCGAGCCATCTCACCAGCCCTTGGGTTGTTTTTATAGTCTATGGACGTAGCTTATTATAAATGCTTTGTTGTCACACTGTCATTTTATAATGGTACATAAATATTATTTTCCTCTTTAATAAAATAGTACCCTACAGTTAAGTAGCAGTATATCTAAAAGAACTTAGAAAATTATAGTTTTACTCCATAGCTGAGGACATTGGTTTGCTGGGAGAAGACCACATGGCCTCTGTTCCACGGAAGCAGTGGAACAGAGGTCTTCTGGTGGCCTCTCTGTCCACTTCCCACAGTGCCTTGCCAGCAGCATGTTGACTAGTGAGTCCACTGAAGCAAATGAACACAGCTAAAGGCTTGATCAAAGAAAAATGGTGTCATAGAGGAAAGGAAGTGATTGCATAAATGTATTCTTTACTTAATTTTTTCAGAAGTACAGAATTCTGTTCTAGATAGACAGTGCTGCAGCAATACACTTCCTTTTCACTATCATCCTTCCTGACCTTTCATCCTGATAAATTGAAAAGTTAAAGGAGATCTACTCTTAGACTTGTTATCTCTAATAAATATATGAACTCATTCTACCTATGTAAACCTGAGTTTTTCTAAAAAATACCGAAGTGTGTGGGACCAGATTTCTTTAAAATTCATTCCTTTTTGTCTTTATTATTTTATATTTCCCATCTCTGGTTATATTTCTAAAAATCTTTTTTTTCTCTATCTCAAGTAGAAATTTCTTTAAAAACCTAGTAAGTCACTCAGGATAGGTAAAGAGAATGGGGTGAGATTGTGGTTTGTTCTGTTACCATGTTTTTATTTTCCTTGTTTGAAAATAGTTGTAAAATTAGGATGAGACAATAGAACAGAAAGATACTGGGTGAGAAGTACACGGGCACGAGTGGGAGCTTGGATGTAGTACTGTGAATCCTCCAAGTTGGGGGAGGGCAACGTGGCATTTCATAGGTTAGGGCCGGGGAGGTAGCTTGGTGCCATGAGCTCCCACCTGGTAAGCTCAAGGTCCTGAGTTTGATCTCCGGTACCAAAAAAACAAAACAAAACAACAAACAAACCCCCATGGGTTTTGAGAGAAAATATTAGAAGTTTTATTTGTGTTTATCTTAAATTTTTTTCTTTACAAAATTCTGTTTTTGCATATATCTCAGTATTTGACCAATCAATGCAGTACTACATGTTATAAATGCTATCGTTTATAAATGGAAGATACACATATCTATTGCGGTAGGATGTGTAGACGTGTTAAGCTAGCGGTAATGGTCAAAAGAGTTTGGAAACTGGTGCAGAGGTTTTCAGAAAGGTGAGCCAAGGGCATCATAGTAAATGTTATGTCCTTAATGTTTGTTTATCTTTGCATATGGTGATAACTGGAAATAAAGAGAAGCCTTAAAAACAGCAACAGATGACAGAATTGTATGCCTCTATAGAATTGAAGAAAAGTATTTTACTAGATAAATATTTAATTTTAACATGAACTTTATCCATTTGCTCATGACTTGGGAGAATTATTAAGGAACTCATTAGGATTTGATAAGTAAATCATCTCACATACTGAAATGAGTTCAGCAAAATTTGATTTATTTAATCTTTGCAACTGAAGAAGCAGTAGGTGATTACGCTAGTCTTTAAAACAAAATTGGCCAACAATTAGTAAGTCCTATTTCTCGAGGATATTTTCTTTTATTTTACCTTTCCCCCGCTAATTCTGTCTTGCAGAATAAGACCACAGCTTGCCAAAGAGAAGATTGAAGGATGCCATATTTGTACATCGGTCACTCCCGGGGAGCCCCAGGTCTTCCTAGGGAAAGACAAGGCTTTTACTTTTGATTATGTATTTGACATAGACTCACAACAAGAGCAGATCTACACTCAATGCATTGAAAAGCTAATTGAAGGTTGTTTTGAAGGTTACAATGCTACAGTTTTTGCTTATGGACAAGTAAGTACCATATTATTTTTATAGGGGCTATAACTTTTCACAGCTGTCAATGCAACTATACCATAATATTTTGTTTTTTGCAGTTATATTAAGGTTGAACATTCATTGTTCCATGTTTTTTTTTTTTTTCAGACTGGAGCTGGCAAAACATACACAATGGGAACAGGATTTGACGTTAACATCACTGAGGAAGAACAGGGAATTATTTCTCGAGCTGTTAAACACCTTTTCAAGACTATTGAAGAAAAAAAGGATGCAGCAATTGGAAATGGACTTCCTCCTCCAGATTTTAAAGTGAATGCCCAATTTTTGGAGGTAATAATCTAATTATATCATTAATTTTCTTCAGTTTTATTGTTCAAGCCATCAACCTTCATGATTTTATATTGCTGGCTGCTAGTATAATGCCTTCCATATGTTCTTTACTTATATTCAGTGCTGTTGGCATTTAAGATAATAAACAATTGACCAGTGTCCATAGACTAGAATGCAATGAATATTATTCATTTCAGAGCCTTTCTTTATTAAGGGATAAATTACTATAGTAATGCAGACAGCCTCATCAAGTGCTGGGACACAGCGACTTAGGTAGAAGGAAGGGCAGAGTGAGAAATGCTAGGCTTGAGCCCTCACACTAGGCCGGCTGCGGGGACGTGAAGTTGTGCAGGGCTGGGAGGTGCTGCATCCGGGGTCGCAGGGCTTCAGCTGCTGCGGACTGACCTGGGACCATGTGATCTGGTGGCAAGGTCCCATTGCAGGGGGTGTGCGGGACTTGAGACAGGCGCTTAGGTGGGCTGCGTCATTGCAGTGCTGAGCGCTGGGCCCCGAGAGTGTTCTTGTCTAGCTCATGCACACCAGGAGTTAATCATTTGAGTTACTGAGGTATTTTATTCAGTATTACTTAGCACAAAATAAAACACAATTCAGATTAATATCATACACCTTACTGCTAATTAGAAAGACACCTCCATTTAGTAAAAGCCAAGGAAAGTAAAATTGTGTGTTTGTACTTTGAAAAGGAAAGAGAGCGGTGGTGAAAGAAGTGTTCTTCTGTCTTCCCTGCAACGCCACAGCATTGCTGGGTGCTGGGACTGTCCACGTAACGATAGAAAGATAGCTGTCTGTACTCTCTTCTGAGGAGGGAGCTGTAGCTTGTCAGCCTCTGTTCGGATAGAAACACTGACATTGTTGCTGACCTTACAGAAAGGCTAAGCATTCATTTTTAGACACATGAAAGAGTTGTGTGGCAAAAGAAATACAGTTCAGCTTAAGTAGCAAAAAGTCTCAACTCTTTAACCTAAGGATTTCTCTAGTTAAAAATTTTACACGTCGGCTTTGTCTGTAGTTAATACTTATTTATTTATTTATTTATTTTTTGTCAATAAAACAGTTGCACATTTTATTTTGCAATTACAGAGTGGTATTCAGTTAACAGAACAACAATTATTTCGTATAAGCTGCATCAGAGACAACTGAAGATGAAAAACTACCATCCCCATATATAACTAATTTGTGCTGTGCACCAACAAGAACCTGCTTTAAATTTCCATGCCAATGTACAACCCCCTTAGTGAATACATATTTATTTAAGTTTGCTTGTATTTGCATTTTTAAAATCTCTTGCAAAAGATTAGTAGATTGTTTTAGCCAGTCCTCAATCCCTTACTCATGACAAAGTCATTTACTTTTCCTATTCTCAAATAAATGTGGCATTTACTTACATTTATAACAATCGCCTCATTCATATTTATGTTATCTTGAAGAAATGTACATCATTTTGGAGATCTTTTAAAATATATAAGAAAGATGACATTAGGCAATGTGTTATGGCTTGTATGGCTATTTATACCCAAATTAAACTTCTGACATTTCATTTTGATAGCTTTATAATGAAGAGGTCCTTGATTTATTTGATACTACTCGTGATATTGATGCAAAAAATAAAAAATCAAATATAAGAATTCATGAAGACTCAACTGGAGGAATTTATACTGTGGGAGTCACGACACGTGCTGTGAATACAGAATCAGAGGTGACATTTATGTTGCAGTTGAAATATAGCGCAGTTAGTTTTATTTCGTCAGCCTTCAGATCAAGATAAGATTATTCTGAAGTTTAACAAAATTAAAATCTTTCCTTTTCCTCATATTTTTAAAGATAGCATAGTATGAATGCCAGAGTTGTGAGAAGGGTAGGCACGCGAAGACTCTGTGGCAGTGTAGGTAGTTTTCCTTTGCAGATAAAGAAGGGTAAGCAGTTGATGGTAAAGAATGATGTCTACTTTTTGCTATAATATATCTAGAATGGTATTATGGTTCTTGAAGGGCAAGTATTGAGCAAAATTCAAAAACTATTTCACCAGAAGATAGAGAGGAGCCTGAGCAGCTCAAGTTACTGCTCAGTTGGTCCCAAAGCATTTTTTGTAACTTTGGGAGTGAAGGCTACAAGTGTCAGAAAATAGCAAACAATGGGATCTCAGTGTTTCTTCTATTTAAAAAATTATACAGTATTCTACTCTGAAGTCCAGCTAAAAAAGGGCCCACAATTAAAATACTAAAATGAAAATCCGCATCTGTTGCGTACCGTACTCTGGAGGGCTCAGCAGTAGCTCAGATGGAGGCTTGGTGGGGGGCGGCTGGCCGTGTCCTGCTTATGCATCGCTCAGTGAAGCCCTTCCTCTCCCCGTCGCCAGATGATGCAGTGCTTGAAGCTGGGCGCCTTGTCCCGGACCACCGCCAGCACCCAGATGAACGTGCAGAGCTCCCGCTCGCATGCCATTTTCACCATTCACGTGTGTCAGACCCGAGTGTGTCCCCAGGTGGAGGCCGTGAGTTACCAGTTCTCATTTCATAAACTTCCATTCTTTGTGTCCCTCGAGCTACGTGCATCCCAGGAGCATAGTTGACCCTAATGCTATTTGTTTACTCATTACTTTTCCTACTTGCTTCTTCTGATCTTGTGTGTGGAAGCTAGTCAACTAGGTTGCAGTTTGAAGTTAAATGAATATTTGTGTCTGCCCATCCAGACTGCATGCTGTGGCCATGTGGTGCTGGGCGTGGGCGCCTAAGATCCTTCGCTTTGGTGGACCCCGTGCTACACGTGGTTTCTTTTTTCAACATAAGACAAGCCTCTGGTGGTTGGGTGCCTGCCTTCCACCTTCTCTCTGACATTGTTTCCAGTTTCCAGCTGACAGTTTTGCATTTCTGTTTATTTGGCTACTGGCTGTTTCTTTGTCTGTGCCTATGTATGCACATGGGTTGAGAGCAAGGATGGGTTAGGGAATTTTGAGTATCACATTAATAAAGTATTTTTCTCCTTTTTCTTACCGTAGGATAATTCAACAGATAATAAGATTATTTCTGAATCATCACAAATGAATGAATTTGAAACCCTGACGGCAAAGTTCCATTTTGTTGATCTGGCAGGATCGGAAAGACTGAAACGAACTGGAGCTACAGGGGA